TGCCTAGGTTTCTCACTAAAAATCCTCGTCCCCCGGTGGCACCTTTTTTTGAATTTTCTTCTTTTTCAACGGCGTTTTTTGGGGATTTCGGATTTTTTTTGAATTTTTTCGCAATAATATTCGGAAAAAAGATAACTTTTAACACATTTTAATGCAATAAAAATTTTTGGTCGGAATCCCCCTTTAAGCTCTTTTTTGCTTGAATTTAACCGATTGCTCACAGGATTTTTCTCCCCCTTTTTCTTTTCCCCCTCTCTTCTCTATTTAAAAAAGCAAATGCGCTCCATTGAGACACCACCCCACACCCCCCAGTGCAGCTGATTTTTGTCTATTGAACCGTCACACACAGACAATGGAGGCAATGTTTTATGTGTTTGAAAATTGGTGTCCTGCCTTATTGATTTTTCTTTGGTTTTCGGCAGTTTTTAGCTCTTTTTTAAGAGAATTTTCTAGTTGAGAAAAGTTCGAAATTGATTTTTTTTTCATAGATTTCCCAATGAAAATCCCCGAAATTTCAATTTCAAAAAAAAATCGAAAATCTCCAGCACCAATAAAGCGCATTTAGCAATGTTTTTTTTAATTAGGAAAAAAAACCTTTTCCTGATTGTTGTCACCCCAAAAAACGGTCTCTTTTTATTTCCTTTCTCTGAAATTTGAATTGTATTTTTTTAGAAGATTTATGGATTTCTTTGAGTATCTTAAAAATTCATATTCTTGGATTTTTTGTAATTTTCAAATTAAAAAAAAAAAAACTTCAGGTCTCGAAAAAAGGTATAACAATGGGCGACGATTATATGGATGATGATGAGGATTATGGATTTGTGAGTTTTTTTTTTGAATTTCTCAAACAAAAACTTGGAAAAGTGAAAAAAAAGACAATTTCAAATCTGGAAAAATAGAGAAATTTCAACAAATTTTTTGTTCAATTCGGAATTCCAGAAATATCTTTGGAGATTCGGAAATATTATTTTAAAAATGAGGATTCTAGAAAATCTGGGTTTCATTACAAAAATTCAGTTTCAAGAAGTTCTGAAAATTGCGATTTTGAATTCTGGAATTCTGGTCCTAAAAAATTTGGGTCATGACCTAAAAAATTTGGGTCATGACCTAGAAAAAATTTAGCTCATGACCTAGAAAAATCTAGGTCATGACCAAAAAAATATAGGTAATGACCATAAAAAATGTTTGCCTAAATTTTTGATTTTTTCAAGATTCTTCAGATTTTTAGAATTTTCGATTCCTGAATTTCAGGATTCTACAAAATGTCTAAATTCTTGGCATTCTAGATTCCTGGATCCTTTGGATTTCTAGTTTTTAGATTCCCGGATTCTTAGATTCTTAGATTTCGATTTTTTTTTGAAAAATCCTCAATCCTTCCTTTTCTCAGGAATACGAAGATGACAGTGGATCGGAACCCGACGTGGATATGGAGAATCAGTACTACACAGCGAAAGGATATCGATCGGATGGAAAGCTCGACGAAGCGATCAAAGCATTCGAGAAGGTTCTAGAATTGGAAGGAGACAAGGGAGAGTGGGGATTCAAAGCGTTGAAACAGATGATCAAAATCACTTTTGGCCAGAATCGTCTCGAGAAAATGTTGGATTACTATCGAGAGCTGCTCACTTATATTAAGACTGCTGGTGAGGGTTTTTAATGGAAAAATAGTGCGAAAAGATTGAAAATTTCAAAAAATCACATACCTGTATTAGAAAGGCGGGCCCTTCTATTGTTCTAATGTACCTCCGGAGGGCCCTTCTATTATAGGCTGCCCTACTAATTTTCCAAGATCCTCTAAGAGAACCCTTCTATTAAAGGGGCCCTTCTAATACAGGTTTTTTATTGGAAATCAATTTTTTCAAATTTTGGCTTAAAATGACCCTGGTGTAATTTCTAGATCATTTTGACATGGTGGCCTATCTTTTGCAAATTGGGTTTTTTAGGCCACCACTTCAAAATGACCTAGAAAACACACCAGAGGCCGTATGCAAGAAAGTGGAAAACAGACGGAAAACAGTTTTCCGGAAAACAAATTACCGGAGAATGACGATTTCGGTATGCAAGAAAATTTTCGTTTTCCGGAAAACCATTTTCCAGGCGTTTTTAATATCGGCGAATTTCTCGAAATCTCGTTGTTTTTTTGAAGCAGATGTATGAAACAAAACATTTTTAGAAAAAAAAAGTTAATTTTAGTGTCTTGAGAGAGAATTTTTCGAAAATTTCAAAATGGCTTAGTTGGCTGCATAAAAATAATATACATTTCAAAGGAAACATATTTAAATATGTGTTTATTAGGGCAATGTAAAGTTTGGTCAATTTTTCCTATAGTGAACTATAACTCATGAGTTACCGTAAAACCTCTAATAGAACGACACCCG